ATTCCTCGCTTTGAAACGTGACTAACCACATGTCATGGACAAAACGAGTCCAGTCATTGTTTGAAGTGTGCTCAATTAAAACAGGGCTCCTGTTTGGTAAAACATTAAATTTTTGGAACATTTTCCACATTCTCTCCATAATATTTTGCGATGCGTATAATTGTTTTATAGCAATAAAGGCTATTTTTTTGGTTACTTGCGTTGTCCGCTGCTTACTTTTACTTCACCAATATAGACATGCATGTGCTAGACATGTCGAGTACTAAACTTCCCAATAGATGCAAAATTCGATAACTGTATGGTTAAACTAACCAGAACTAATCAACGGCGGTGCAATTCCATTGGTCCCACGCCTGCAAAGTTTCAGCTGATTAAATTTAGAGTTTCGCCATTGCACTAATGAAACTGGCGAATTTTGTGGAGTGTCGTTAAGATAACTTTAGTTCTACGGTGCCCATTGTTAAGTTGTGTAATTTAAAACCGTGCACCAGAAAAGCAAGAAAAACCCCACACTTACTGGATTTAGATGACCCACCGCAGGCACTAATTTTCTAATCTACCATCAAAAGTGTCATTAAATCCATTAAAATTGAGATTAAAGATAATTAAAGATAATTCGTCAATGTCCAAGCCACACGCATTCAAAAAGTCATCCTAAGCATGCATCAACCCTTTTCTATAACAGTTAATAAACCTAAAGAAAATCATAGCGTAGCAAGCAATGCTCCAGTAACAAAAGGTGACATTTCAAGATTAATACTGGTCATTTGGTTAATATTAACGTTGTTGGGTCAACCAAGGACCAATTTTATTGACCATTTTCCCTGATACGTCTCTAAAAATTATAACAAACCCTTAACTTACCAGCTTAAGGCACACAATCAGACAATTTCCAAATTCGAGTTGGTTAATAAAGCTTGTTCAAACTTCACAACATAAAAGGTCCTAATTATAATTTGAATCGTTTACGAGTTAAATATTTTCGACGTCAAATAGACAAAAAATGTTTGAAGACATCGTATCAAGCCTGGTCAACAGAGTGTTGGAACATAGACCTCGTAGAGAGGACGCGTTATTAATTTTAAATTTGCTGTTTTAAATAATTCTTTTGAATTGTTCCCATTTTTATGAAATTCAGTCCTCTCTTTAAATGAACATTAGCATTCGGTTAACGGCGATGGTGAAATCGAAATACTTTAATAGTGAACGTTGGATAGCTAGAGTCAATTACTGCGCTTATTTACACTATTCATGATTTTTGTTAATTTCCAAAAAAAATATTGCGAAATGCTTCAATTTACATAATGTATTCAAACTCAAAATTTCAAGATAAAAACTTATGTGAACGATGATGTTTCAATTTTTTATGGAAAACAATTCGAACTGCCATTGCATTGTTAAAACATAATGACTTGATATAAATTAAAATATTGTACGTGATAGATGAGCCAAACTAAAATCATTGTGATTTTGGATAAGTATATCCTAACTCATAATTAATTATCTTAGCTCACATCTTCATACCTTTCCTGTTCATTTCAGTGTTCTCACCGATGAGTCACACTGCAGAAGTAGAGCGGTATGGTGGTACGAGGAGGCACCGCTTTGAAAAAAAAAACAAACCGGTGCGTACGCGTCTTATCTCTTGCATCAGATTGTATACGGCGTGATCTTGTTAGACAATATTAATTAGACAATGAATTTAGAAACAATGAAATGTCTGTCAGGGAGGCTTAGATACTTTAAATTTGTCTGGTGTCACCTTACATACGAGCAGACGATGTATATAATAATGATTTAATTATAAATTCTAAAGTGCAGACGCAACCACATGATATCAACAGAAACGCGCAGGTTTCTTCTGTTCTACTGAATATAATTATCATGTTATAACGCAGTGAGTTTACTGATATTAATACATTAGGTAAACGACACAAATTGTTTATGGATAGCTTTGTTTTTCTTATTGAGAATCTTTTTCAGCATTTGCCGTCTTTGAATTTTACTACGATATAGTCAGCTTGCTTAAATCGGTATCATAGCGATGTAAACGGACCATGACGTTACCTACACGCAAATGCTCAAATGTAATATCTGTAAGAAAACTTTCGCGTGTAGGTACCATTGGTGATCTCCGATGTTTATTCACTCAAGCTGATCTAGCAAGTGACAAAGTCTAGACAAGACTTGATGACTGTGCAAACTTGCCTTGTTAGGTTTGGACATAGTAAAGGCGCCATTGATTGGCCGATGGAAACTGTTAACGTTGTTTATTAAATAACAAGTGATATGTAGACTGCTGGAATGAATATTGTACAAAAATAAATATAATAGGTAAATGTATTTCTCGAGCAGAGAGTATAATAACAATATTAGTAAAATTAGCGTCTCCATATTTCTATATCGAAGAGATAGATACAATGACTAGACATAACAATCAACAAATACATTTTTGTCTTTTTTTAATTAAAAACAAACAAATGAACAAAACCTTATAGACCTATTATTACAACAATAATTGCATATTATTTTAGCAGACCAATGTTTTTAATAATATTATGCAGGAGCGGAAAAAGAACTTAAATTCCCTTTGCTATATTACTAATAAATTGGCCAATGAGGATTGACATTTGACATCAATATTTAGTAGTACGTAGTATGTAGTCATTAGAAGATATTATATTAAATTCTACTATATTGGGAAAGCTCATATCGTCGGATAAATTTGGATTCTCGTAAATTCGATTTTTTAAGAAATCCGTTTTTTACTTATCAAGCGCATGTTTAGGCAATTACTTAAAGCTTAAAATATAATTTGAAGACATTCTTTTAGTTATACAATAAAGGTATAATCATATAATGTTGTATAATTATTTTTGGTAATTCTGTTTTTGTGCCTACTCAAACGTTCTCATTACTGGAGGTTACGAGGTTTACGACTTAACCGGCGATATGTAACTTGTTATTTGTTAGCATATACGAAGTTTGCTGGTCTCTAAACTTAGGGTATATGAAAATTCTTACTCAATTTCATCATCCTATACGTTGGCCGATGCGCCAGCGCAGATGAGTCACATCCCGATCGTCAAACACTCTCACGACAAAGGAATAGAATTAAAAAATAAACAGTTCTTGACCTACAATTTGAGTGCCTATGTTAAGAAGAAAGCATTCGTTTCGCTTTGAATATGATACAATATCTTATTATTGTAAAAATAAGAATTCCTTCAGCAGTAAGCGGTTTTATGTATACACTCAAACACAGATAAAATTGAAACTAAGAATTGTTCCCATAATAATTTCTTTAAGAATGATCAGGTAAAATTTTAAATATTTCTAATTAAATTACATTTTAAATATCCTGTTTGACGTTATGATCATTTTAGAAAACATGCTTTTCCGTTAAATGACTAATGCAGATCAATGCTTTTATTACTGTTACGCTCGCATTATGATCGTATGAAACAATGTCGCATCGCGCTTCTTTTTATCTTATTTCACACGATTTATCTGTGCAAGTTTTTAAATACAATGTATTTTTTATTTTGTCTGTCGATAAAAAGTTACTTTATGTCCGAAAAAATTACGACCTAATAGATCATTTAAACAAAGTTTTATTTGAAGTAACGGTTCCTACGTGACGTACGGATTATTGCCCTATTTAAAAATTTAAAGACGTCAACGGACAATAGTGTTGCTAGTTTATTGCAATACGTAAATCAAAAAGCTCATTCCAGTTTGACTCTTTATTGAATTACATTTTATGATGAGAAAATGTTATACGTTTACGATTAATATTTTTTTGCATTTCCAAAACAATTTTAAGCATTTTTGTCGCGGTTCCTTTGAGATTCTAAAAAATGCCTCTCAAAACAGGATCATAAAAATAATTATAAATACATTCGACTGCTAACCAGGGGCCTAATATTAAGGAAAGCATCTGGGAGTACAATTGACATCGAGGAGTGGCTTATTTTTTTCGACGCATGATTGAATTCGCTATAAAAAATTGAAATAATTCATGTTTTTTACTAGTTTTTCTGGATTTTATATTTGAAGATGATAGTAATTCACAAATGTTCTACCTATTTACTTTTTAAAACACATTTGGCTATTTGGTTCGAAGAGCAGACTGCGTTAAACTACTGACTGCGCGTGGTGAAACGTCAATAAAATATAATAATGGTCAATAAAGCCCTTGCTTCATTACTATACGTGTTCAGAGTTAAAATGCATTTTAAACCGAATAGAATAAGTTACAATGTATTTTAAGTGTTGATTTAAAACAGCGTTCTTTGTTTGCTTTTCTGATTTATGAGAACGTTATATTCTATATTAGTTTAGTAAAGGTGATGTGTTGCAGTTAAGTTATTTGAGCTTAGATAAATGTGAGTAACACTAGCTCGTCGAGTAATAATATAAAGGCATTTAGTATGATATTTTATTGTATAATTAGAAGAATCAGTATGAAATGTGTGGAAATCGTAAATGTTTTTGATTTGTTGGTGTGTTTTGAGAAATGATTAATTTATATTGTAATTAGAAGAAATAATAACATAATAATAATAATAACTAGGTAAGGTGGTGGTGTCAATGACCTACAAGCACTAGTATTCGACATCTTTTTTAAATTCATTTTTATAAAAAAGTTTCACAAGGGTTGTTATTAAAAAAAACATTTAAGTCATTTTTATTGAGCACAACACACACTTTTCGTAACTAAATCACATTGAACCGCCTTGGTTGAATTGACTTTTAGCCTTATTCAGAACAGACATGTGTTTAGCAATGGAACGTATATGAATTAATGATGATGATGTTCTTCAATCTCCTTGTATGTATTCATTAATTTGTTTTTTAATAATTTTTTTCTTCTGTTGGGCTTTCCTTTTTTATGTTATCAAACAACGGGACGACTAAGTAGTGAGCCTGATACGAGGGTCAAACTGAAAGTTCTTAGAAAATTAAAAACTGATTACATTAGCCAGTTATTAGTTTTATTATATCTTTTCAAAATATTGTCCATTCACGTCAATACACCGCTGCATGCGATGGAACCACTGGGAAAAGCACTTTGCCCACTCGTCCTTAGGGGTCTCTTCAATGGCATCGCGATACGCAGCCACCGCTTCTTCAGCATTCGTAAACCGCTTTCCTTTAAGTTTTTCTTTAATTTTTGAAAATAAATAAAAATCACAAGGCGCGAGGTCGGGGCTATACGGCGGCTGACCCAATAATTCAACGTTTGATGTCGCCAAATAGTCGATCGTTCGCTTGGCGGTTTGCGACGAGGCGTTGTCGTGGTGAAGGAGGATCCTACTGCGAGGTCGTTTCTCTCGAACTTTTTCCAAGACAAGTGGCAAACAATTGGTAGTGTACCATTCTGCAGAAACTGTTTTTTGATCCTCTAACACAATTGTTGCGAAATGACCTATCCTTCCAAAGAACGAGGCCACCATTATTTTTCCCGCACTTCGATCTCTCTTCACTTTAGTTGGCAACTCCTCGAAAGGAAACACCCACTGAGCAGATTGTCTTTTGGTTTCAGGATCATAACAGTAAATCCAGCTTTCGTCACCTGTTAGTATGTCGAACACAGCATTTGAGTCACCTCCGTTAAATCTTTCAATCATTTTACGGCACCAATCCACACGATGGAGTTTTTGAGCCTCAGTCATATTATGAGGTATCCACCGGGCGCAAAGCTTCCTGACCGCTAAATGTTCGTGGAGGATTTTGTGCACTTGACTCATACCGATGCCTAAGCTTGTCCGAATCTGCTGATAGGTCACTCTTTTGTCAGTCTCTATCATACGCCGCACAACACAGATGTTATCTTCAGTCGTCGCCGTAGAAGGCCGTCGCTCACGTAAATCATCAGTGAGATTAGTGCGACCACGTTTAAACTCATTAAACCAGTTGTAAACAGTCGCACGAGATGGGGCTTCATCGTGAAAGGCCAATCGTAGTCTATCATAACTTTCTTGTTGACTTAAATGACATCGAAAGTCATAACAAATCATTGCACGAAAATTTTCTCGTGTTGAATTCATGTTGACGTGACACAGACAATTTTCAATTTGCCGCCAAATCGTAAAACAAATGACAAATGAATGAAATATATACTCAGTAATATTGGCAAAGAGTTCTATTTTCAAATTTAAGAATTATTTTTTTATTATATTGTTTATAAGTGGCCAGTTCTAAGAACTTTCAGTTTGACCCTCGTAATTAGGCTACTAACAGATTGACTGCATTGTTAATACGTAAAGTCATTATCAACTTCATGCAGTCGGAGTCTCGGATAACGACTTCACGTATTAACTGCATGCAGTCGAAATCGACGTCATGCAGCCGAGATCGATTGCATGCAGTTAAAATGCATGAAGTGGTTATCAACTTCATGTAGTCGAGGTCTCGGCTTGAAGTTGATTATGACTTCACGCATTAACTGAAAACATACAGTCAATGCATTAGCAGCCTAAGCTACATACCTTTCTTGATGGTAAATGACAATAATCGCAGTGCCATTCAGAGCCTTAAATTGCAAAAATATCAGGGGTATTGCCACTGCGTTCGTCACCCCGATATATATATAACTTGACAAGTCCCTTGTGCCCGTAATTTCACCACACTCACCTTTCAAAACTGGAACGCAGTAACGATCACATTACTGCTTGGCGGCAGAAATAGGTAAAGCAGGGCACTCTTTTAACGAACTGTAACGACGTTCTGGAGTGTACGAGTGAAGCAGTCTTCACTAGAATGAGTACCTGGTTATAGTCGGCTCACCGCGAAAAGCACGTGTTCTGCTCGCGGCAAGCTCGCGAACCACTTATACACTATGATCTTTGGTAACATAACATAACTGTCTCTGAAGCCGAACGGCTAGCAAGCTAGACTGCCATGCAGAGGTCCTGAGTTCTTTAGATTACCGAGCCCGGAGAAAAATTTGTATGGCCGACATTTATTTCTCTCGTGAGTTTGGGTGTAATTTACAACTATGCGTGCATATGTGTGTGTGGGGTAACTTGCAACGATTACGATTACTGCCCGCTAATGAGTACCCGGCTTAAGACTTTCTTGTTTGTGATCTATCCCCTTTACAGAAGAGATCCCGTACTCGAGCATACTTAAGTACGAGTTGGTGGAATATCTTTACTAATTAATACACGTTTGTGGTATTCCATTACTGTGCTACAACAAAATACATAATTAAATATTCATCATCTTTAGCTTACACGCATCCACTGCTGGACATAAGCCTCCCCTAGAGCACGCCAACTTTCCCGGTTCTGTGCCGCCCGCATCCAACCACTGCCGGCCACCTTGCTCAGGTCGTCCGTCCATCTTGCCGCAGGGCGTCCCACACTTGTTTTCCTTGATGTGGTTGCCATTCCAGAACAAGTCTGCTCCATCGGCGATCAACCCTCCCGCAGACATGCCCGGTTCACTGCCACTTAAGCTTACTGATTTTGCAAGCTATGCCCGTCACTATAGTTCTCTGACGTATAACCTCCTTAGGGATTCAGTCCATCAGAGAAACCCCAAGCATAGGTCGCTTCATCGCACGCTGAGAGACTTTCAATTTGTGGACGAGGCCTGTTGTTATTATCCACATCTCGGCTGCGTAGGACATATCTGGTACAACGAACTGGTTAAATGCCTTAGTTTTTAGGGTTTGTGGGATTGACGACCTGAAAATGTGGCTAAGCTTCCAAATGCCGCCCAGCCCAAACGAATTCACCTGTCGGCTTCCTTCTCGAAGTTGTGCTCTCGAAGTTCTCGAAACTAAATATTGGACAATATCAGTTACAAAGGCTAATAAACATTTACGAAGATTTATTTTATTATTAATATTTTCCATTTTTATAATATCAAGTGACGGGACGAATAAGTCCACAACAGTTGCAGTGCCACACAGAGCTTTAAATCGCAAAGATTTGAGAGGCACCCTCACTGTGCCTGTCACTCTGAGACATAAGTTGACAAGTCCCATGTGCCTGTAATTTCACCAGTACCCTTACCCTTCAAAACCGGAATATAGTAATGATGATTGCATTACTGCTTGGCGGCAGAAATAGGTAAGGTAGCAGAACTTCACTGGACGAATTCTTTCACAAGGAGCTCGACGGCTACTAAAACTATAATTATTGTCATGACATTTTTACTAGTCCAGTCAGATTGAAGGAATGTTTTTTTGTGTATGTTTGATCTTTGTATATGAATTATTTCCATTCTTATTATAGAAGGGCTTCTGACCGTGATTATGTAATTCGTAAAGCATTACTAAAATAGTTTGAACAAAACATTAAAGTGTTATCAGCAATGAGTGACGAATGTTAGTTGTGAAGTGTTCACAAATGAGTTCGAAAACCTACTGTTTGCTGAAGATAATATGACTCTTTCTGTAGTATAGGCGAAAAGTGGAAGCGATTTTTACCGCGATACAATAAAATTAGTATAAAATTTGCTACATTTTTTTTTATCATACCAAGTGACGGGATGGACAAGACATAAGTTTGTAAGTCTCATGTGCCTGTAATTTCACCATCACCCTTACCCTTCGAAATCGGGGCGCAGTAATGCTCACATAACTGCTTGGTAAATGGGTAAGGAAATAGGTAAGGTGGCATTACTTCCCTCGACGAACTCTTTCACAAGGAGCTCTACTGCTGCCACATACAATACAATAAAACAAGACGGTTTTAAATTAAGAATCGATTGTAGATACGAGTATTTATTTCAAACCGAAATGTTAGCAGTTATGGTATTAGCCTTCTGCTTTTATAATTCCGTTCCTAATTTGATTGTTCTGCTGTTAAAAAATCGGTTTCATTTATGAAATGGAATAGCAGCTGGCTTATTCAGTACCAACGTTTCTGTTTCTCTGGTTTTCTTTCCCTTATACCAATTAAAACTGGTAGATAACGCGTGAACAGACAAATTTTAATAAAAACCTCTTTGTATTTGTTGGACCGATTACAAATTTTATGGTGACAGAGTCAATGCATTGTTAATCGCGTTGTAAAAATATTTGATAACAAAATTGTTCTGTCAGCTCTTTGTTTCTATAGAGTTTGTTGACTTTCTCTAATGGGATTTTATTGTATCATTTCTTCCACCTAGGCCATGAAAATGTCTCTCTTGATGAGTAATATTGCTTTATAAGAGATGCTTCAATGACCGTTGTAACATTAACTTATAATATAAAAAGACTTTTTCACCTCACTAGCTCGAAAATGCATTCCTTTTCATTAGAAATCTGCGCGCGTTTTTTCACGCTTTTTGAAATTCGAACTTGTCGATGGACTGAGGTGCACCTAACTTTTTCTTTTGACGAAAAAAAAAAACATAATGACACGTTCAACTACGCGCATTGTCGTACATTATTTAAGTATATATTATTTATTATATTATATATAGTATATATATATTCTTATTATTGTTGACATTAAATTGACAACGATAACTATTTTTGTTTATTAAAATTGATTTAATATAGTTCAACTTATTTTTACTTTCATCGAGGTGAAAAGTTGTGTCTTTCGCTCGGTAGCAAAGTTGTTTTACGTCTCGTGCCTTGAAACCCTCGCTACGCTCAATATTTTATTTTTATGATTCAATCTTAAAATCCTTCGTTTGCTCAGGTTTTAATTCAAGCTGTCGTAAAAAAACAACTTTACAGCCTTGAATATCAAATACCTATGCGGACACGTGGAAGTAATATAAACATTAATTTTATGACTGAGATCTCTATATTAACTGAGAAAACGGCTAATAATCTTTAAACAGCTGAAGAGATATTTTCAATGTAAACTTTCACGATTTTCGCACATGATTTTATTTTAAATTCGGGACTTAATCGTGTATAATTATCTCAACGTTTTGGACGTGTAGCAATGTCCATGGTCTCGAAGAGACTGAAGAAACAGGTGTCAACACCTTCTAGACACGCGAGCTCTTCTAACTACCCGCATTTCATTGTATTTGTGCACTAAGGATGTCACTAGACTGACACACAACACTCACGATATCCGGTGATTTGTCACGTGACGCTTATGTTGCTAACATTTGCTGATGACTGGATCCCATGACTATGTGAATAACATAAACTTCGTGGTAAATAAAATGTTTTTCAAATTTAAAATTTTGTTTTATTTATTTTTTATTTAGTAATTTATTTCTGGCCACATGACCCATATAATATAGTGACAGGCGTATAGCTTACCATCAGACGCATGACTTGTTCGTCCCGTCACTTGATATTGTAAAAAAAAAGAAAATCCCGAATTTGAAATAAAAAAAATATTCATCAAACAAAGCTAACAATCATTCCGATTAAATTAACCCCCAAATAAGAACATTTTAAGAGCAGCCGTTTGGGCGTTACGATTCTACTGACAGACGTACAAATACTCAGACAAAGGCTTCAAAATTATAGCTCCCTTTTCTTATTATCTAGAAAACAATTTTCAAAGCAAACAGTAGATATATACATACTCCTTTTCAATATGTGCATTAAATAGGTGTACAAAATCTCGACATGTATAAAATCTAAACTGCATCATTATTGCAAAGGATTTTGTACCCTAAATTCGAGTATGGTTTTCTCTGCTATTAAAATGTTAATATAAAGTGAACTGTTATTTATTAGTCATAATTGCTGCTCGTCTGACTATGTTTCGACGTGTAATTAGCATACATTATTGACCAATTAGTTGTAATTAGTGTTGTAGATAAAGCGTAGAGGTGCGGCTTAATGTTTTTAAAATGTGCCTTTTCGTTAAGTAATAGAGCCGAACATTATTATTGATCCTTTGAGGCTTCCAAGAGTACACAGATCCATCATGTTGTGGTGTTTGAGGTGCAATACTGTAAAACGGATATGTATAATGGATACTATCTGCGCGTATATTTTTTTTTTATAATACCTAGTGGGGGGACGAACAAATTGTGCGCCTGGTGGTAAGCGACACGCAGAGCTTTAATTCGCAAAGATCTTAGGGGCACTGCCACTACGTCCGTCACCCTAAGATATAAGTTCACAGGT